GAGCGACCCACATCACCCCGCCCGCGGTGGTTCCCATGAGAAAGCTTGTGCCATGATCTCAGCCCGTCCCCAGACAGCAGATGCCCAAGATGTCACTTGAGAGGGCCCATTTCTCTTGTTCCGTTTTTGCATTCATTCATGAAAGCAATGGAGCCAGAGAAGTTAGTTTCACTAGCTGGTTCCCATCACCGTGCTTTTGTGCTGAGAAGCATGTTTAAAAACTGTTAATCTTTATCATCTTTATAATGTCACTAAGTGTGTTCATTTTCTGAGCAGATTTGGTGCCACTTCTCAGCGGCCAGAAGCTAGACTTTGGCGTTCCCTCTGGGCTGTGTCATTAGTGACTCCGTGGAGACGGGCCAGGTTGTGTCGCTAATGCCTCTGACGCCAGACAGGCGTGTTGCTCGCGTGCCCCCGGGCTCACTCAAATCGGGAGAGTGGACTCACTTGCACTTTCACAGTGCAGCGGCTCGAGCGTAACTAGCTGAGTCAATGGGGAGTTCTCGTTTCTGCTGTGCACGCTGGCACGGACGGACACCCCTGCTTTGCTACCAGTACTGGCTGCGCTCACGTGCTCCCCTTGGAGGAGAAAGCTGACCCAAAGGCAGTGAAGCCTGAATTTCCGGGCACATCCGCAGAGCACGGCACTGCCAATGAGATGCCATGTGATGCCAGGAGAGACATGCACATGTCACTCTACAGTCTGGAGAGGAAGTGCTGGCTTTAAGGCCACAGCTAGACTGGAGGGGAGCAGCCCTGCCATGTGGCTGAGGAGTGCGGGTGGCTCCTGCTCCCCTGTAAGGACGGCAACGTGCAGGCTTTTGCGACTTCACACGGCCCACAGGGGACTCAAGTTGTCTGTGTTTCTGGGGTGGTTCTCTAGGCCCAGCTGAGCTGCAGGCAAAGGGCTAAGTGGCCATGTTTAAAGCAGTGCTCTTTGCAGGTGGCATTTACGGGGTCAGAAACAAGGGGTGGTGAACAAGTGGAGGGCAGGCAGAAGTGCCCGAGAGGAGGAAGCAGGGGCCTGGGGTAAGGCAAGAACGCCCCCCATTTGGTCCACGGCCGGGGACCACCCATGGCTGCTGAGAACGGAATTCGTCCCTTGCTGAGAAAGGGCTTTGGGTGCATGTTCAGGAGAGGAAATGACCTAGTGTACTTTCATTTTTAAACAAAGAACAAAGTCGGCACACCAGGAAGACCTTTCTGGAAGGCCATCTGGACGCCCCCGTGGGGGAGCCATCGTCCCAGGTGGGTCTGGAGACGGGGTGCCCCTGAGTCTGTGGAGGCAGCCGGCATGGCGGAGGTAGCCAGAAAGCACCTTGATACTTTCCCAGCAAAGACAAGCAGCTTAATATTTTTGCAGCCTCTTTCCAGAATAAGTCAGAGGGAGAAAAGTGCACGCTACGCAAAACCCTCCATCTTGTCCCCTCAGAACGGCATTAGAGAAAAATGCGCAAAGCTCAGACGAAATGTTTTAATTTTTCTCTATAAACAAAAGAGCAAAGTAATCTCCATTTATCAGCTGCCATGCACGGAGCAGCAGAACACCAGGATGGTATAATTAAAGGAGGTTCTATCACAATGAACCAGAGAGACAAAGGGATTTTTCAAAAAGCTGGCACCAAGATTGTATTAAATATGGCATTCGAAATCTCATTCCAGGAAGGGGCTGCTTTTGCTGGGGGTCCTTCAGAGGCCCCTGACCCAAGGAAAATGGCTGCAGAGACAAAGGGGCCTTTCCATCAACCTCCACCAGCATGGTGACAAGAGGTCGCCGGGCCCTGCAGGTCCCGAGCTGTGCGAGGCTGAAGCCTCAGGTCACAGGTGTGCCCACACCCTTCCCTGGGACACACCCACAGTGGACACAGCGTGAAGCTCGCAAACGCCCAAGTGGCTGGCGGGGCAGGAAATGATCGCATTGCTGATAGATGCTTTCCTTACAACTGAACAGGTTGGAGTCCTTTACCATTCAGACGGCAAAGCCTGCAGTGGGCATTCCTAAGGCTAAGGGCCAGGTCAGAGACTAGCCTTGAGGGCAAAGACATTGACAATGAGCCCCCGAGCCCACGTTCCAGCCCGAATGGCCACATGTCTTCACTATAACACAGGAAGGCGAAGGAACCCTCCTACCCCGTACTGTCCACCCCACAGCCAGAGGGACCTGGATGGACGCACCAGGGTTGGTGCAGGCCCACGCCCCTTCTCGTGACATTTCACAGCATGAAATAACCGGATGGCATAGTCGGGAGTGGGGAACCTCGCAACTGCTTTTCCAGTTAGAATGCACGCCATTCAAGAGAGGTTGCACCGCCGTTATTCCGGAGTAAGAAAGGCTGGCCCACAGGGTTCACTATCCCAGTGGCATTTTGTTTGGGCCATGATGGTTTTACATGTGACCTTGGACCTAAGTTGCTAGGACAGCTCTGAAGCTGGCACTTGCCTTCTGCACAGAGATGTCACAGGAGCTGCTAGTCTACACAGGGCTCTCCCCAGGCAGGCCTCACCCCAAGTCAGAAGGTGGCCCGGACCTCGGGGGGCCTTCCCGGGGCTGACCGCTCTCTCCCAAGCAGACAGGTGGCACCCACACGCCAGGCTGTGGGACAGGCCAGGTCAGCCGACGCCAGCCCACATCCCCAAGCACCACCAATACTCACGGTCTCGCCTCTCTGACCAGGGTGTCCTGGAAGCCCATCCTTGCCTGGGGGGCCCTGAAGAAAGAAGAGGAGGAGTTTCACTCATTTCTGAAAAGCACGCACCTTCGGGATGGAACGCCACAAAAATCACCATTTCACTTCTAAGCACGGGCACAGTCACCCCCACAGTCGTGGCAACCAAGTGCCACACAAGAGCCTGGCACCTGAGTCACCTCCTTGAACCCTCTCAACCACCTGAGGGTCCTCTTCCAGGAGGACAAGCTGAGGCGGGGAGAGGTCAGTCAGCTCCCCCAGGTCCGGCCAGTGGGAGGTGCAGGCGGCTTGGGGAGCCTGGCCTGTCAAAGTCCTTCCTAACCGCTGCCCCCTATCACGTCCCGCTAGGCGAGTCATTCCCGTCGTTAGGGGTTTTGCTTTGTTTTTTTTCCTTCTAAAGGGGTATTAGAAGAAATACATTGCACCTGTTGGGAGTGAAATTGTGTCCCCCAAAAGACAGGGTGCAGTTCTAACCGCTGGGACCTGTGAACGTGCCCTCTTTGGGAATAAGGTCTGTGCTCATCTCATCAAGTCAGGATGAGGTCACCTTGGATTAGGGCAGGCCTGACATCTGATGACTGATGTCCTTATAAAAAGATGGCGATTTGAAGGGACAGAGAGGGACAGAGAGGAGAGGCCACGTGAAGATGGAGCCAGCGATCGGGGTAGAGAGTCTACGAGCTGAACACTGCCAGCCAGCAGCCACCAGGAGCTGTGAGAGGGGCAGGGACAGACTGTCCCTTAGAGCCTCCAGAAGAAACCAGCCCTGCCCACACCCGGATTTTGGACTTCTGGCCTCCAGAACTGAGAGGGTCCCTTTCTGTTGTTTCAAGTGACCAGGTTTGGGGTACTTTGTAACGGCCCTAGGACACTGACACAGAGCCAGCTAGAAAGTCATGATGGTCTAAATGAGAAAGGGGTCCATGCTTCTCCGGTGACGCCCCAGTGCAGGAGGCTCAGGTGGATGGACACGCCACAGGCTACCTCCGCACCACCGTCATGGCCCAGGGGGTTGCTCCCCTCACGCTGACCCCCGAGTGTTTTGCCTCAGGCCCTCCGCCCACTGCCTGATGTGAGGAGGCTGCGTGGACCCCCGGGGAAGATGAGTACCCCTAGGAAACTGAGCCAGAGGAGCCAAGCCAGGAAAACGCGTTACTTACAGGGGGGCCCTTTGGTCCAGGAAAGCCCGTGGGTCCTTGGGGTCCATTGGGTCCCTGGGGACAGAGAATGGTCAGTTTGAGGATAGACATCCTCTCCTCCAGTGTGTGGGGCCAGCAGCTCCCACCATGTCTTCCTGGGTTCTTCTCTGAGCACAGGCACACTTTTTCACTCTCCCTAGGACCTCCTCTCCATCGGTTCCAGCCCCCTTCCTCACCAGAGCGAGAACGGAGGTCCAGGTTTCTCAGAGCGGCCCGGGGCTGAGGACCCAGGCTCCCGGTGTCCCAGCCACCTCCGAATCCCCCAGACCAAGGCCAGGTGGACAGGGTGCCCATCCTCCACCAACAGAACCCCTGACTCCCAGGGAAGATTCCATGGCTCCACCTCTAGATTTTAGGAAAACCCTCTCCTTCAGAAGGGTCAAAGGCGCGTCTCCCTCTCCCCAGCCCACCCTGGAAGAGAGGGAGAGGGGACATTCACGGCAGGCTGCTTCCCCGTGGACAATGGCCCGCGTTAGGACTCTTACCCGTTCACCTGGCGGGCCGGCCGGGCCATCACCTCCAGAGTTGCCCTAGAGGGACAGAGAGCAGGAAAAGCTTTAGCTCATTATTCCTACTTCTGATGGAAAGACTCTGGCCCATGACATCATCAGCCCATCAGCCACATGCTGCATGTGCGCCCTGCTGCCGTTACCCAGGTTCTTAGCAAAGAGCAGCGAGTGTTAGGCACAGATCCGTGGCTCCAAAAGGTCGCCTGTCCTCTCGCTTCTACACACATCTGACAATGAGCTGCTATCAGCAGGGCAGTGACATTTACAGGAGGAGGACCGTCTCCTGCTGGGGGACAAAGGCTGAGCTCCAACCATGAAATGCATAAAAAACTCAGGAGAAGACAGGACCCAGTATCTACTCCAGGGCGCGCCTGACACGTGACAACAGCTGTTCTGCGACGTCACTAGCTCTCCCAGATGAGCGTGAAGTCAGTTTCCAGGGCACGTGCCATGCACCTGGGGCTTATCATGGAAGAACGCGTGATGGCCTCCGGGCGGGCACATCCGGTTAGCGGAGGGGCAAGCCAGCTCTGCCGCTCAGCCAACCAGAAGGCTCGCCTCCTTGGCAGGAGTGCACTTTGGGATCACGTCTTGGACAGGACAGGGCGGGCCTGCCTGGCTGAGGTCCGTTTCCACACTGACAATCAGAGGAGTTGGTGTCAACACCTGTTCGTGGGGTGAGGATGTGGGGAAGGCTCAGGCTCTCGCCTGTGGCAGAAAGAGCTTTCTTTAGATTTCTGGCAAAGATGTCTGGGCAGCTTTCAAACTCCTTTTCAAGAGAAGGACTAAGGCTTCCTCACCAGACCTATGGGGCATTTGTCTGAAGCTTGGACCTGGCCGCCTAGGCCATCTCAAGTTCCAACGGGGCTCGGTCCCTCTGCCTCCGCCTTGCATTCAATTTGACGGAACTTGTCCAAAGGCTGTTGTTGGAGGGGACCAGCTCCTTCCTAAATGCCCCAATAAAACGTCTTTCTTTTTGTTTCAAGTGAAAAGCCTGGATGCGAGCAGACGGAAACATACCTTGGGGCCCGACTTCCCGGTGATGCCCCGGGGGCCTCTTTCGCCCCGTGGACCCTGGACAGGTGGGAGAGAAGAAAGGTGAGCTCAGACTCCCCGGACTTTGGAGACCGCCTCCCCCATCCGAGGGCACGCGCCCTACAATGTGCTCCCACCGCCGGGAGAAACGGCCCTCAACCCCAAGGGTGGTTACCGTCGGGCCGCGCTGTCCCCGTGGTCCCGGCTTCCCAGGTGTGCCCTAGGATCAGAGAAGAGAGGGTCGGTCACCGGAGCTACGCCTGTCACCACCTGGGTGGTGGCCTCTCCTGGGTTATGGAGATGGCTCGAAACCAGAAGCCAGGAAGACTGCCTCTTTATCTTGGTTCTAATGGGAGGTTTTGAGGGAGAGGGGGCTCCCTGCACGTCCAACACACAGTTTTGTGTTCCCGCACAAGCCTCGTTGGATTCCATTTTCTTCCTGCCGTCTGCCGGACGCTCTCCGTCCTTGTCTGGCTTCCCATCCCCCCTCGCCCTCCACCTTCCTCCTTCATCTCTCTCTCACCAGGGCTGGGGAATCATTATTGCAAGGCAGGAGAAGAAAGGCAGCCCCTTCATACATAATTTATTTTTGCTACAGTTAAGAATATTAGCCATTAAATTTTCAACAGGCTCTGCAGACCAGCAAACTGGCAATTTAATATATAAATCCTATATCCAGGCGTCATTTGCTTCTAACAGAATTTAGGCTCCTTTGTTGTTGTTGCTTTGCGTTTTCCAAACCACAGAAAACAGATGCACTGCGTTTTTTTTCCCCCCCCCAGAAGCAAGGATATAATAGCTGGTGAATGCAGCTCACCTACTACACGCGAAAGTAATGGATGGAACAGACGCAGGTAGCTCCACCACTTCTCGTTCATTTTCCAGAATTTTATTCTGATTTCTAATGATAAAGCTCTAGATGGATCTGTATTGCTCAGGGCCACCTGATAAGTTTCCTCGCACCATCTTTCACTCATTTGCTGCCAGCATCAAATGGCTTTCTAGAGTCTCCCATTTTGAAATGAATTTAATAAAACTGTTTATGCTGAGGTAATTATGCTGCTTTTAAACAATGCACTCTGGTTTTGCTGCTTTAATTGTATGGCAATACCCTTTGGCTCCAGACAAATATTTGCATAGAAGAATTAATATGACATCTGCTTTCCTCACACGGCCAACTGCCAGTGTAGGCACTGTGACCGACCCTGGTGACGTCCTGGCATTTGGGGATGAGCACAGCTACCACGGTTTCTCGCTCCCACCGTCCACTACAACCCAAACCCTCAACCCTAAGCTACGGCCACCGTGACCCAGACGGTTTTAATTCTGCGTGAGTGCCTCTTGGTTCCAATCTAAAGCAACTGTGACCAAGGCTCAGGGAGCGAGAGAGAGAGACTCGGCCACCACTCCCGTCTGGGCCTCCTTTGTGGCACCTCGCTCCTAACCCACACCAAAGAGTTCCGGGCCCTGGTGATTGATGCTATTGAACAAAGTGCCACGATCCAGTCTCCTTAAGGGATCTGTCCCCGTGTCCTCGCAGGGAAGTCACGGCAGCCCCACAGATGTCCTGGCTCCAACCAAGAAGCCAAAACACAGGTGGGAGAAGCCTCCTGGTTGCTTGAGATATTTCTGAAGTGGTTGGCTCTTCCAAGGCAGGGCCGCTGGGACCCCGTGGTGGCCCAGGGTTTGTCACTTTGCTTGTGTTAGTTACACCAGCTGTATGGAGAGGCTCACGCCCCTGGTGTGGAGCCCACAGCTGGCGGTCCACAGAACCTGCAGCTGTGCAGAAGCCAGGACGAGGCCAATGGAAGGGTACTGCGGGCTCACGGGCAACCCTCTGACGGGACGCAGCTGCACGCGTGTGGGAGCACATGCGCCCAGGTCAGGCTTGGTATCCTAGCGCCGGGAAGCACCCATCTGACCAGACTTCCCAAAAAGACATTATAGGGGCCCCCTAGAGGAGCACAGCCACCTGCTCCCTTCGTGACCTCGCCCCACAAGGGGACCAGAGCCACTTAAAAAATCTCCCATGTCACTCCCCTGATGGAAACCTGCAGTGGGTTCCCACGGCCTTGGGGTAAGGAGCACAAGGCCTCTGCCAGGCCCTGTGGCCTCGCCGTCCCCTTCGGCAGCCCTGTCCCCAGCCCAGGCCTGGGCTTGCGGGGCTCAGCCATGTGCCTGTCTTCCTCCCCCTGCCTCACCCTAGAGTACTGCATGTCCTCCCTACCTCACCTATCCAACTTCTGTCCCTCTCCAGGTCCCACGGAATGTCACTGCCTCCAGGAAGCCTCCCCTACTGCCTGGGTTAGGCTCCAGCTCCTGTGAAAACTCTCCCAATTGACCCTGTCTCCCTCCCTCATGCCCATCATTGGCGCGTGCTGGTCACCGTCACCAGGAACCCTCTCTGGACGGCAGGGTCCCCAGTGCTGGGCACATGAACGGACTTGGGAACCATACGCACAGGGAACCCCCATCACTGAGTTCCAAAGGCAAGACAAGGTGAGCACAGCGGTGCCCAAAGCACTGGGGGCGTCACCAGTTCCACGAGGCTCAGAGGGTGACCCTGCAGCCGAAGCGTCACTCCGTGGACCCTGAGGGGTGAACCCTCTGCAAGGACAGCCTGGCGCCTGGTCCCCTGCAGACAACTGGGAACCTGGGATGGGATGGCCCCCACTTAGCAGACCCCATTCTTTGTCGCTCCCCAACTTGGCGTAAAGCGGTGACATCGTCAAGAAGTTTCCCCCGTACGTCAGCAGATGGTTTGTGTAGGTCCGGGTCTGGCTGCCCTGGGCTCCGAGCTGGAGGCTCTGGGGGACTTCGGACAAGTGCAGGCTCCTTCCCACGGCACTGACCACCACTGCCCTGTGCTGAGTCCACGCTGGGTGCCAAGCCAGGAGCATGGGCAGAGGGCACTGGCCTCTCTGATGCGGGGTGCAGGCCCCCAGCTGTGGGGCGTCCGGTGCTGGCAGGTGCCCGGCAGGTCTGGACTGAGCAGCATTTCTGTTCTGCCTCCAGCCTTCGTCCAACAGTTCCCCAAAGGCAGAGCCATGGGCAGACCGGGCACAGAGGCTGGATGAGCACCCTTCCCGACTCTGGACTCCATGCTCCCGACCCCTCAGTGGCCAGCCCCTCCTCCTGGCCAGCGGTCAGGCTCCACCAGCACCAAGGCCATGGGAGTTCACCTTCCCCACTGTTCCGTCCAAGCTTCCATGATACCCATTTGGAATTCTCGGGGATGACGTTTTACACTCGGCTGGTGCCTTCAGTCAGGTGGCAGGACCTCACCGTGCTCTGTCAGGGCAGCTTTAAATACTGAGCCTTGACCCTGTCACCACCTGCACCGCCACACCTGTCACCACCATCCACCCCTGCCGTCAGAACCCTTATTCACAGTGACAACAAAGGGAACCAAAACGCATCCTGCGGGTGCTGTGACAAGATTAGCTTGGGAATAACAAGGGAGAGAAGCTTCCTGAATTTGGACTTGTGGCGTTAGTGAGCTCTGCAATAAAGCCCCTCTTTTCCCTTCCCTTTAAAATGAGCCTGGAGAAAAGTCACCGGGTAAAAAGAGAAGGATCTGGGCTTTGCTAATGGCCTGCAAGGGCTGTTGGGATGGTGCTGTTTATTAGAAAGCTCTGTTTTCTCCACATGCTCTCCCCACCCACCTGCTGCCCCCTCCTTTCGGGAAGAGTCACCAGCGCTCAGCGCTGACGGACACGGGCTTAAGGTCAACTATCTGGAGAGTAGTGTTGGCAGCACCACGGGCGAGAAGTAAACAGGACGAGCTGCAGAAAACACCCACTGAACAGTGAGGCAGCAGAACGAGCCCCCTGAGCGGAGGCCGGGCTGTCCTTACCCTGCCGCCTTTCTCTCCGTTGGCACCAGGAAATCCAGGATATCCACTCGAGCCCTGAGAGAGAGTTAATTAAAGAAGCATGAGCGCTGGGCCAGAGAGCAAGCTCTGCTGCAGGTGCAGCTGGGGGAGGGACCGTCACAGTTCACAGCCTCCACCATCCGCCATCCATCCACCCATCCATCCATCCATCCATCCATCCATCCACCATCCACCACCCATCCATCCATCCACCATGCATCCATCCATCCATCCATCCATCCACCCACTCGCCATCCACCCACCATCCATCCATCCACCCACCACCCACCACCCACCATCCATCCATCCATCCATCCATCCATCC